CAATAAAAGCTCATTTCTTTAGAACTGCTTTTTGTTTATAGCGTGACCTTCCCCCCCCCCGCACCTCTGATTAGCATGGTTGGCTACGTACGGTGCGAAAGAAGTTCTACACACAAGCTTGTCGCGAACAAAGCAACGGGTTACGTTCTTTGCATTTCACGTTGCCGAGACGTTAGCAAGCCAGCAATCCACAACGAGCGAGGGCCAACTCCAGTGACACTGAGCGAGGGCCACGTTGTGCGTTACGCAAACTCCGTTTTAAGTGACACGCGCCACGATATCCCAATGTAAACACCGTATTGTTGCATTGGAGGGCACAAGCCGGCTCGTGTTTTCCAAACCGTAGCTCAAGTCAAGTCAGCTGACGTGCACGACGGCTGTTCTACAACCTGGCAGCAGGGCACGTGTTTACTCTCCACTCGCCAAACAGACATGATTTATTGCAGCAAATTAAGAAAATGTTAAATCCGAACGAACTGAAACTTTATTAAAACCAACATCTGTCCGCAAGTTAACGCCGTCTTTGACAAACCGTCGGCGTAGCGAAGCGCACGCGTTGAACTGCATGCGGAGTGTTAGATTGCAGTTAGACTTAAAGGTTGTTGATGTATTCGTGTGGCGAGTCTCGAGGCGTCAGCGGCACGAACAGGCGGCCGCTTGTTTTAACCGTATGAAAGCGTTGCTACTGCCGAGGCTTTTGCGAGGGGCCGAGCTGTACGCCTCTTCAGATGCGTTTTTGGCTCAAGCCACCCGTTTTCAGTATCCCGAAGAAAGCTCCCGGCACGCGTGTCGCAAAACGTCGGACGCCACACAGCGCCACCCAAAAACCACATCGGAGAACTCGAGCAAAAAATTAACACGCCAGCAGCAGCAGCAGCAGCTACAGTACACACTGCGCCGTCCGAGCACATTGAACGTGGAAACATCCCCCCGTGGGATGAATGTTCATTTGAACCCGTTTAACGTCGCAGCCAGTTAACAGCGCCCTGCGGTTAGTTTTACAGACGGTCCTCAGGGCACAAAAAAGAAAATAAGCCGTGGCACTACATCGACTCGAAATTGATTCGCTTTCACATCCAGTTATCGTCGAGATGAACCACAGCTCCGGTGGCGCCGATCCGCCGCTCGTCGATATTTCACCGCGGCGAAATTTTTATTTCTGCTTCTTATCTACAATCCACAGCTGAACGCAAAACACGGAACGTTTTCCTTGGACTCGATTACAGACGTTGAAATTGTGGATATTTTTTTTTATCGTCACGTCGGTTTTAATTCACAGCGAGGCTAAAAGTTAATGTTTGGCTATTTCTGGCTGAAAATCAGTTATGTTGCGAGGTTTTGGAAGTAAAACAAACGTTAATTGTTAGATTTTAGCATGACCCATCCCCTTTGTATGACACCCGCTGGTTAGGTGACCTATCCGCTCTGTCTCCCATAGGCTTGTTCAATACTGATCACAATCATACTCGGGAGCCGTGTGTGAGGAGTGCGCACATGTGGCAGGTTTGTGGTCACGTGTGCGCACAGGTCTGGGAACCAAAATGGAACCAATGTACTCCTGGCAGGTCATCAATGACGTTACACAATCGCCGCTCCACTTCGTTTAGGGCAACGATTCGCAATTCCAATCCATTTATTTACTGCAAATCGACAGAGCTCCGTATATACAGTGAGGGAAACAAGTATTTGATCCCCTGCTGATTTTGTACGTTTGCCCACTGACAAAGAAATGATCAGTCTATATTTTTAATGGTAGGTTTATTTGAACAGTGAGAGACAGAATAACAACAAAATCCAGAAAAACGCATGTCAAAAATGTTATAAATTGATTTGCATTTTAATGAGGGAAATAAGTATTTGACCCCCTCTCAATCAGAAAGATTTCTGTCTCCCAGGTGTCTTTTATACAGGTAACGAGCTGAGATTAGGAGCGCACTCTTAAAGGGAGTGCTCCTAATCTCAGTTTGTTATCTGTATAAAAGACACCTGTCCACAGAAGCAATCAATCAATCAGATTCCAAACTCTCCACCATGGCCAAGACCAAATAGCTCTCCAAGGATGTCAGGGACAAGATTGTAGACCTACACAATGCTGGAATGGGCAACAAGACCATTGCCAAGCAGCTTGGTGAGAAGGTGACAACAGTTGGTGCGATTATTCGCAAATGGAAGAAACACAAAAGAACTTTCAATCTCCCTCGGCCTGGGGCTCCATGCAAGATCTCACCTCGTGGAGTTGCAATGATCATGAGAACGGTGAGGAATCAGCCCAGAACCACACGGGAGTATCTTATCAATGATCTCAAGGCAGCTGGGACCATAGTCACCAAGAAAACAATTGGTAACACTACGCCGTGAAGGACTGAAATCCTGCAGCGCCCGCAAGGTCCCCCTGCTCAAGAAAGCACATATACATGCCCGTCTGAAGTTTGGCAATGAACATCTGAGTGATTCAGAGGACAACTGGGTGAAGGTGTTGTGGTCAGATGAGACCAAAATGGAGCTCTTTGGCATCAACTCAACTCGCCGTGTTTGGAGGAGGAATACTGCCTATGACCCCAAGCACACCATCCCCACCGTCAAACATAGAGGTGGAAACATTATTCTTTGGGGGTGTTTTTCTGCTAAGGGGACAGGACAACTTCACCGCATCAAAGGGACGATGGACGGGGCCATGTACCGTCAAATCTTGGGTGAGAACCTCCTTCCCTCAGCCAGGGCATTGAAAATGGGTCGTGGATGGGTATTCCAGCATGACAATGACCCAAAACACACGGTCAAGGCAACAAAGGAGTGGCTCAAGAAGAAGGTCCTGGAGTGGCCTAGCCAGTCTCCAGACCTTAATCCCATAGAAAATCTGTGGAGGGAGCTGAAGGTTCGAGTTGCCAAACGTCAGCATCTAAAATCTTAATGACTTGGAGAAGATCTGCAAAGAGGAGTGGGACAAAATCCCACTTGAGATGTGTGCAAACCTGGTGGCCAACTACAAGAAACGTCTGACCTCTGTGATTGTCTACAAGGGTTTTGCCACCAAGTACTAAGTCATGTTTTGCAGAGGGGTCAAATACTTATTTCCCTCATGAAAATGCAAATCAATTTATAACATTTTTGACATGCGTTTTTCTGGATTTTGTTATTCTGTCTCTCACTGTTCAAATAAACCTACCATTGACAAAGAAATGATCAGTCTATAATTTTAGTGGGCAAACATACAAAATCAGCAGGGGATCAAATACTTTTTTCCCTCACTGTAGATTATGGGATCAACGCTGTCTACTGCTGTGAACATTTTTGAGTGGAATTGCAATTTTCACCAGCCCAAGATTATCTTCCCGAATCATCATCATGATCATCAGCCATGGTCAAGGCCTCCCCAAGCCACCACCACCGCCACTCCCTCTCGAGGTCCTGCAATGTAATAAATACCGGTTTGAATTAGTCCAGCGTCTAAACGCCATGCTGCACAAGTTGGCGGTGGGACGTTGTGCTCTTCAAGACACCGTCGCTTCCAAGAGGGATTTTTTTTGAAAGATTTCACCACGAACCAGAAGGGTCATATTGCAGCATGGCCGTCAGCTTCCCGGTCTCCTGTTGTACTTTCAGAAAAACGGAACGTCACGCATCACGGACGCTCGCAAAGAAACCAAAACTGGGCATTCGTCTTTTTCATAATTTTGCGGAAGGACCTTGGGGAGCTTTGCTACAGCCCGTATTAGTGGACGTGATTTTTGAAGGTGGGAAACCCCTAGATTTCATGCCCAGCGTGACACAGCTGACGAGGCCAATAACGTCACAGGCCACGGCCATCACCTCCCGGTCCCCTATTTCTCAACTATATTGGTGTCGAATTAAGCCGCGTTATTGGACAGAAAACCAGCAAAGTAATCGATGACTTTAGATTACTGGATGAGGGCTCGGCTCCTGTGTGGATTTACGTGCCAGGCAAGGGCGTGTGAGCATGACAACTGCACATCACTGCTAGGCTCCTGAAACTATATGATTGGTAATTGAAGCGGTTTCCAAATTACTGTAAACAAGCGGAAGCTGCAAACATGTATTAGTACCCATTCAAAATAACACCGCTTTTGTCATTTCCACCTTCTTGTCACGTAAAAATATATAATCCAACGGTTGGGGAAATTGCCCTCGATTCACAGCAGTCGTAAAGCGAGTTTCCGTCACGGCGAGCACCACTGGCAGAAAGCCCACCCCACCCCCCGACTTATTGAAGTCGTGTTAATATTTAGTTGCCTAGTATTTTTCGGCACTGTTAAACCGTGCACGAGTTCTGTGCCGTGGTCTGTACGTTTGCTCTCAAGTTATTGGTATGAAACGAATGGCACCAGGTGAAGATTCTCAAGACAAAGACGCGGTTAATCAAGACAAATACGAAGCTCTGAAAGCATAAATACTATTTCATTCACTTGAAATAATATCGCAGGACACCACTGGGATAAATGCAGGACTTTGAGACCTTTAGAAAGTTTTTTTTCTACTAAGGCTTACTTTGTCCCTCGACGCAACACTTTTTGCAAACTCTGATTTCGGCTGCCATCAGGCGCGAAGGATAGCTGTGATATTTGGGCCGACGCGTAAACATGTCACACAGCTCCCGGCAGGAGGTGGAGGTTGAGAACGCCAAACTGCGGTGGGATTTCGCGGCCGTGCTGCACCCGTAGCGCTCCGCTGGTCGGTCGTACTGCGTGCCCGCTCCTCTCAGCTCTTCTCTATTCCTCCAGCTCGACTGAGACCCCCCCCCCCCCCCCCCCCCCGGAGAAGCTCCCAACGTCGGACGTTGCAACACGCGGCACGATCCGAGAGGGCACATCGGAGCGATCAAAGAGAGCACCCTGCTGTGATCTAGAGGGCCGGGCAGCATGACAACATTGTGGTTCTGGGGTAATTCTGCATCTAGCGTAAACAAGGCGACTCTTACACTTCATGTCAGATTGGCATTCCCTGCAAGCTGAAGTGGGATGGGCTAAGAGGATTGGAGCCTCGTTTGCTTCGGAAACAAATGCTTTATTGTTCCAGAACACAATCATGACAGTATTTATGTACCGAGGTGTGAATTTGGTAAACGATCACACGGACATCGCATTGACGCAAGTTACGATCATGTAATCTTCTTATAAACGGAAATTGACTTTGATGATATGAAGCATTTAAAATACTGGGGCCCTTCACATTTGCAAGCCAGTGCTTTACAGAGGAATAAAACGTCTTACTCCAAACATATCCGGCCCATGCCCAATCCTCCAAACCAAACCCACCACCCGGATTCAACGCAACACTGTCTCCGCGTGGCTCGTGTGGAAATAAACATTGAGTACATCGCTCCACGTCGAGTCGGCTCGTCTCTCTCGCTCGCCTCCAAACAGAAACGTCCGCAGCGCGCGATGCCCACCCAAAGGAGGCGACGTTCTCTGAACTCGCCCGATGCTTTCAACGCGGACAGCTAAAACATCGAACGATTATCGCAACGTCGCGAAGGGGCAGCTAACGGAGCGGTTGGGCTGCCGACTTACGGACTCGTTAAGGCATCTCGGGGGGGGGGGGGGGGTGGGGGGCAGGACAGAATAGACGCAAGCACAGAGAAATAACGCTGCACGTGCAGACAAACAAACGTGAGCCGGGCCAGGTTTTCCCCAGACGCCCTCAAACTTATTTTGATTTTTTTGCGGCCAATAACGGATAAAACACCCGACTACGGCAGAGCACTGCCGTCGCCCAGAAGCGTCGCGTTTACCGCCAGAACGTGCGCCCGTCGCGGGCGTTTCTCTTCGGGCGCTGCGGAAAACGTGAGCGGGCTCATCGCGTCGCAGCGACTGCGGCGGCGGCAGCTGGGCACCGCTTCTGAACGTGTCCACCGAGAGAACGCGCGGCGGCGTGTGGCCACACGCACGAGCGAATGGGCGGGAGGGCGAGCGGAAGGGCGAGCGGAAGGGCGAGCGGGCGGGCAAGTGAACCGCAAGAGCGGTCGCGCGCCCATCTTTCGCCGCCGTCGCCGCCGTCGCCGCCGCCGCTCACCACTTCTTCTTGTGCGCGTCCATGGACACGCCGCCGGGCCCCAGCGCGACCAGCAGCAGCAGGCCGCCGATGACCGACTGCGTCTGGAAGAAGTCGTACTTCATGTAGTCGTGCATGGCTTTGTTGCTGGACACGGTCCAGAAGGGGTGCATGTAGACGTTCATGGCGAGCAGCCACAGCACCAGCGTGAGCGCCGCCAGCTTGGTCTTGAAGCCCACGGCCACCAGCAGCATGAGGGCCGTGCCCACCAGATCCTGCACGATCTGGGGGGGCGCGGGATCGGTCGACAGGCAGAGCGTCGGGGGGGGGGGGGGGGGGGGCGTGCGACGATGCATCGGTTAAAATTTATTTTCTCGCAACGCACACAGAGCGTCATTTGCGCAAGCAGCCGTGCTGTTCGGCCAATGGCGTAGCCAACGAGTGTGCAGGCAGTGCAGCTGCACTGGCGCCCACTGACCAGAGGGGTCTGGGCGCAGGGCTGTAAAGAGCAGGGAAACTGGACAGGGTGGGATGGCCCATTTTGATTCCTAGCACCAGGGCCCATGTCAACCATGCAACGCGCTCAGTGCGGCCTTTCCATTTTACCAAAGAGCAAATGCATTTAAACATGTTAGTGCAAAGTGTGGAAGAAATGACAAAATACCATCAAGAGGGGCTCAATAAGGCTCCCTCTAGTCCAGGCCCTTCCACTAGCAGTGGAGTGAGCAAGCAATTGCAGGGCTGCACCTTAACTTTGTATAAGGGTGGGGTGGTGTGGAAGTGCAGAGGCAGTGCAGTTCGTGTGGTTCGTTATCAATTCAGTAGACCCAAGTTTGCTTCTTGGCCACGGTAAAAATAAGTCACTGAACTCCCGCTTGACAATTACACCGCGCCAAACAACCAAGAGCTCTCACATCTACGTGCTCGCAGCTTTGTGCAGCCGGAAGAACCCTTGGGACACAAACAGGGAACGCGAGGGAATGGACGTACGGAGAAGAAGCTGGCCTCGAAGTTGAGCAGGGTCATGAACATGAGTGTGAGCAGCACGCGACCTCCCAGCTGCATGTACTGCTTGGGGGAGTTCTCCCCCATGGTGGGCACCCCCGCGAACATGCTGCGTCCGTCCGAGCGGTTCTCCGCCAGCAGCAGCAGCAGCCCCCCGCCCAGCGCCAGGTTCCTGGTCACACAGCAGCAAAGGCGAGAGAGAGAGGAGTCTCTTTCGTACGGCATTCGAATAAAGCAACGGATAGCGTCAGGGGCGGAGCCAGGGGGGGTGACAGGGATGACATTCTGCGTATGAGTGTACGACACTCGGTCTGGCGGACTCCGTGAGGCTGCTTTGTCAGAGTGTGTCGCCAACCGATGGCGTCTAGTTCAACAGCCTGACTCTCTAATCATTCTTGAAATTAAAATTTGTTGAATGTCACCCAGGCCTGAAATCCTGGCTCCGCCCCTGGATAGGGTGCAAAACTGTGCATGTGGCGAGCCTAACAGAGAGGGAGGGTCCCTGTTGCCTTTCAACATAGGGCAGTCCGGTATTGGTTCAAGCGAGCCTGACTTTGCCGACGAGACACTGAACGTGGAAACTGGAGTTGTTGCTTGCGTAGAACCAATGCTGCTGAAAAGATGTTTGGCAAGTGGGTTGTGATAAAAAAAAAAAATCACATAGAGAAATAAATATGGGAACGTGGCGTTAGATTTGCAAGGGAAGCGTGAGGACATGCCGAGGTTATGTAGGGGACACGGGACCACACTCAAGAAAAATCTATAAAGGCGCCTGGAACGAAGATGCAAAAAAGGAGGCAGAGGATTGGAGGAGTCCTGAAGGGGAAATATTTGGCGGCAACTTCTAAAATGTTTCAGCAAGTTCAGGGAGAGAGAAGGTATAGAAGGGGTGTGTCGTGGTGTACGTGGTGGGGTGAATAAATGCTTGACCAGAGGACTTCCGTCGTGTGGACTCAACAAGCATTGACATCGTGTACCTCATCAGGAAATGCGCGTCCCACAGTATGTTGTAGGCGAGCGTCTGCAGGGCGATGATCACAAAGAGGCCGTAGCAGGCGTACGACACAAAGTTTCTGCTGAGCACGAGGACGCAGCCACCTTTAAAAAGAAACACGGCATCCGCGGTGTCAGTTCACACCGCCACGGCGCTTGCGACTAATCCTCAACGCCGCGGACCCGCCGGCCATTCTCTTACGTAAGCGCGAGCAATATTTAGCAGAGGACGCGCTATTTCCGTTTCACATGGAAGGCTCGTCCCTGGTTGAGAGCTGAAACACCTATCACTGAAACAAACGTTCGGTTTAACTGAGAATTCTGGACAGTGATGTCACGGGGCAAGCAGCCTATCACGCGCAAAGCTCACGCACAAACTTGTCCGGACCACGCACGATCTCGTCAGATGTTGGAACGTAAGCGAGGTTGAACCAGCACCGCGCATGGATGTGCGATTTACTGGACATCTGTGAAAAAGAGCTTTTTATCTCATCGGATTCCTCCAGTATAAATTAAAATTCTGATCATGACGCAAACAGGTTTTGTAAGTTTCAGGACTAAGTGGTAGACGGCAGAGCAAAGTGCTGCAAAACTTATTCATATGCTCCCATGTCTACGCTCACCATATTAACCAACCCACATAGACCCTGCACTGAGGAGAAAATGAAATTCGTCCCTGGAATTCATCTAAACTTTCTCCCCCCCCCCCCTTTTATCTCAGTTCCTATCGTCCTGTCTCTCCCCGCCACCAACCATCACCACCACGGCATTGCAGCCACCACCGCAGCTGCTACCGCATCATCGTCGGCGTCAGGAGGGCGCCGCCCGGTCCTCTTACTGAGCTGCCCCACGAGGTTGATGAAGACGAAGAGCGAGGCGAGCACGAAGCCGGCGCCCCACATGCGGTCGATGTAGTCCCTCTGGAGGCTCCACTGGAACCACATGCGCACGCCATCCTCCAGGAAGGTGCTCACCAGGCAGAGCCGTGCCAGGTGCGGGAGGTAGTGCTTCGTTACCCTCAGGAACTGCGCGCGTGGCAGGAGAGAGACGAGGTGGTGCCAACCTCCTTCAAACCATTTCTCTCCACGCGACACCGCGAGATTTCTTTCTTTGATATTAAAGGACGCCGGCCAACGTCGGGGTGGGTGAGTGGGTGGGGGGGAAAGCTCAAGAGACGCATTCATCTCACACCGTGAGAGTGAGAATTATTTTGCCATGTACGTGGCGTATTACCTGGCATGAGCCAATTGTCCGGAATGCGCCCGCTCTCTTCAAGATCTCGGAAGCCGGGCGGATTTTAGCGTGCTTATTTGCTTGGATGGGCGACCACCATGCGCGGCAGGTGTTATAGGCTGCTACGGGGCTACGTGCAAAGCACCGTAGCAATATCCATTATTGTACTGTACTTCCACCTTCTCACATCTGAGCTCTCCAAGTTCACCGACCCTCACTGACTAGCGTAGTTAAGTATGGTTAAACAGCCCCTACAAACCTGCGTGACGTTGGGGAGGCTGCGAGGTTTCCAGGATATTGCAATGTAGCAAATGGAGACTACAAAAATGGATGGTGAAGCCATCTCCATGGACCTTTGAGTATTATTCTCTCATATGCAGGAGTTTGCTCCAGGTACAGTACTGCACAGTTTCCTTCCACATGTAAAACCATTCTCAAATGGAATTGGCTGAACACCGAAATGCAAGACCCTCCTGTAAAAGGGTCTTGAGGTAACGTTTTTTCTAGATATATGGTTGAGATATTTGCCAAAGATCCCACGTAAATGTAGTCATGGACCGCCTGCACGTACACAAGGACTATGACGGCAAATCAGAAAGCAATTTTAAATCGTAATTTAAAAAAACATTCGTGAACGCTATGCTTATACAGCTGTAAATAACATGTCATCCTCAGGAGTTTTCGTATTAATGTTCCCTGTGTGCATGCAATATGGCTTAAAGCACACAGCACACTCAACAAAAAGGGCAGTGTGATGAACTATTGATGCATAAGTAAATAGCAGTCCGGCCACCAGATGGGTTATCTGATATTCTGGTCCATAGCAACAACACTGGCCGGACAGGTGAAAGTTCTGTTTGCAAAATGCCAGGCAATTGGTCTTCAGCGAGTACAGCCATGGCGCCGACGAATGTCTCACGTTGTTAAACATAACATTATATCTCTGGATTATGCACCAGATTTGCAGACTGCAAATGTACAAGCACATTTACAACCATTCTTTGTATCCACTGCTGGACGAGGAGCTCCCCAAGCCGTGTGGGGATTCGTCCACGCTTGCAGCAGAGCCATGGATTTTGCTGCACAGAGAACTCCTCTGCTGCCCACCACACAGCCCCTCAAGCCCTACGGCAACCTGCTTTGCGCACGGTGCACACCCATCGAAGCACTGCCGATACTCAACGCCTGCTTAGCTCTCCCAAGGTCTGATGAGGTTGGTCGCATTCAAAGTGATTTGGCCGTAGGCTTTCCTGATAACAGTCCAAGTTAACTGTATTTTACCATCATAATTGATAATCACCAGCCATTACAAAGTGGAGTGCCAAAGGATAGCGATGTGCTTCTTGTAATTATTCGCACACATATAATCTACAGTCCTATATTCCAATAAGTGATTTTTTATATAATTGTATTTTATGTTCTGAGATGTAAGCAAAAATTACTCCTCCAGCCTCAGGTCTTTCTACGGATTAAAATGACGATACGACTGATTAATAAGAATGAGAACAGCACGAGAAACGAAGCCGTATGTGTGGAAAGAGTTTTAACACGTGTGCAAATGCCACGCACCCGGCCATATGGTAACAGGAAAGACAAACTTCCCATACCACCATCAGTGTTCACTTCACTCACTCAATGAGTGATTCATTCCCGTTTCGACTTTGAACATTCACTGTATTGTTAAGCCAATTATTTTTAAACCTCTGCCCTTTTAAACCAGAATATATCCCGATTGAGCCATTGCAATGGTGCCATTCATTTGTCTCACACAGCATTGCAACCTTTACCGTAAGATTTCGGGCCGCAGAAGCAGATACCTTTGAGATAATTTCTAGCGAGTGACCTCTGGTCCACACACAGCAAAGGGGCATTCTCTCCCACCCATAACCCTTTTGAGAGTAATGTTCGTCGCATGTACAAACCCATATATTTTTTCCCAGACATGGAATTTATTAGAAGTGCAGACCCAAACTTAATTGCGATGACATACATGTCAACCACTTATCAGTGTCCTACTTTATTACACACCAATTCGGACTCTATTGGTCACCCCGTGTCCTTACAAATCTCAACGTTCAACCTACAAAGTCCCATCACACGGGAGATACACAAAAAGACGCATTTTTTTAAACTCACGCGCACCTCAAGACGAGAGAGAGAGCCTTAACATTTCCTCTCGCCCCACATCGGTTGGCACCGTTTTACATTTAAGGAGAATTAATGTACGTGGGGGGGGGGGGAGATTAACTGGTTTTAAATACAGCGATTTCCTGCTCAGTTTGTTTTACATCCGAGACGGGTGCTCATTTACCGTCTACAGGAGCGAGCCGGTGGGTGGTAATTCCACATGCCTATGGCGGGTCTTATCTATAGCTCAACTAACTGTTGACTTTCCAACAATAGTTGTTGCTCTTTCAGGAGTTGAGAAGACGCTTGCCCCAGTGCGGGAGAGAGGAGCCGAACACGAATTGAATTTAAAACGACTCCCGATGGAACGGCGTCAATTTAATACTGAACGGGCCCAATTGCGTCAGATTTCAAAAGCTAAGCAGAGGGTTCGATCCTGAGTTGCACTTGGAAGCGAGACCGTCGCGTAATGGAGCGCGTGGTGTTGATTGTAGGCTTGGGTCTGTCAGGTGGCTTGATGGATTCGTGAATCTATCTGTGCAGCGCTGCGTGCGTCTATGCCCTAATAAAAATGAATGAGTAGCGGGCAGCAGAGGGCAGTGCAGCATAATCAACTTTTGCGCCGTTACGGTACTGTACGTGAATGCTCCCCCCGCCTTCACCAACACACACGGACTAGCGTGGTGAAGTATGGTCAAACAAGCCCTCGCACACCGACTGGGCCGTGGGGAGGACGCTATCGAGCCAGCAGTTGACAAGACAGTGGCCGACGACTGTTGAAACCCCAACGTTGACTTCGTGAAGTAAAGACGCGAACCGGGGGAGCCCAAATCTGCGAGTGGAGAAGTAGGCACGAGGAGTTTGATGAGGATGCTGATGAGCTCCCTTACCTGGTCAGCCACGTCCTCAGCGCGGGACATCACGTCCGTGTTACCCTGCATCTCTGCACTCGTCTCAAGCAGCGGCGACGACGACGACGCGGGGCACGGGGAGTCTCTTTCAGCACCGCTCCGGGACCCCTTTCCTCGACTCCACAGCAGCTGCTGGGGGTAGGGAGGGCAGCAGGCAGCAACGCTTCGCCCAAGGAGCGATCGGGCGATATAATGTAACGGGCGCTGTCCGAAACAACGAAGCAGCGTCCGCCATCTTACGTGAGGCAACCGCCCCCACACTGAACCATAGCAAGGGGGCGGGGTTTTATGACGTCACGGCGCGTATATCACCCCGTGGAGGGGGGGTTGGTGGTAGTAGGTTGGTGGTTGGTCTACCCTGACCAAGATGGCCGCCGCGTTGTTTCTGTCTTAATTTGTACGGCGGTCTTCGCGGCCATTGTGAGTGAGTGGATGGGGGAGGGGCACGTGGACGAGGGAATCGGGAGGCGCCACGTCGGGTGCCCTGATGACGACATCGCACCGACTCAGTTTTGAATGACGTCATTTTCAAATAGGTTTTTGCGGGCTCGCCCGGTCCTATGACGTCACAAATGATATAATAAGCGTGACGTCATGGTAAGTGTCTGCACTTTACATTTCGTTACAATGACGTCGCTGATTGCCGCGTCGGCAGTGTTACGCAACCACGGACAGTAACGCACTTGGACACTATGAAGGGCCATTGCCCGAAACGTCACATATCTTACATGTGTACATTATACGTGTGGAGGTTGATACATTGTTATGGGGAGCGGTGGAGTAGCGGTAAACGTGCCGCGCTATGAACCTGGTGTCCCGAGTTTGATTCCCGCTCACGGCCAACACCGGTGACGATCATCTGAACCGGTCCTGGGCCTCCCCTAGGTCGACTCAGCCTCAAATGAGTAGTACTGGGGAGACAAAGGCGGTCGGGCGTGGTTGCTGGCACGCCCACCCCCCTCGTGTGCCGTGCCGGTCTTCATAGGCGCTGCTCGCTAACAGCACTTGCCCCCCTTACAGTCTTTTAAATATTGATTTGAAGCTTTCGTGACTGCAGGAATTCATACTCTATGGTTCTTTCGCTAAAGTCACGTGGGTAGAAACATAATAATAATAGATCGCAACACAAGCAACCGTCATCAGGTGTGAAACAACACACAGCAGCAGGAGGAGGACCTGCTCACGTTCAAGGCCACACGGGGAATCTCTCTGTCACTGTGGTGCTGCTATGCCCCACTTTGCTGCCATCTGCTGGGTTACTGAGGTCTATACTCTCGGTTTTATTCGGTCATGTCACGTATAAAACCACGTGTTAAACCAAGAGTATGAATCCTTGCAGTCACGAAAGCTTCAAATCTAGAATTACTGAGGTCTCCCAATTATTTTTCGTGACAAACATTCGCGTTGATGCGGGTGTTTTATTCGAATTATACGCAAAACTATTATTTAGTTTTGATTTAAAGCTTTCGTGACTGCAGGGATTCATATGCTTGGTTCTTTCGGTAAAGTCACGTAGAAGGGAAACAATAAAATCATAAAAAAGTATTGTTTCTCTTCTACGTGACTTTACCGAAAGAACCAAGAATATTAATTAGTTAATCCGGTTTTTTTAAAAAAAGTTGTTGAGCCAGTTGGCCAGGATTGGGCAACTTTTCACCCAGGCAACTGGACACGCGAGTGTCTCGAACCTCACGTTAAAAATAACAATGACGAATTTAAGCATCACAATTAAGAGACAAATAACATGTAAACTGTTTAGAAATTCAAAATGTAAACTCTCATTAATTGTCCTCAAACTATCTAGGGTACTGATCCGGCTGTGCCCAAGCAGGTTTTTTTTTTTAAACAACTAAATGTATTTTAAAGAAATACCACGAGCAGCTGCTGAACGTCGCTAGGGAAATGTTTTAAATTTTAAAAGCAGCCCAGGTCTCGAACCCTATCGATCTGGGTGAGCGGTTCGGGAGGTAAATGTCCCCTGCAGCCGGGTGTATTGTTGTTGTCGTGACCATGCTCCCACGTCTTATCCGTGCCTCTCGCCTCCACCACCAACACCACCACACCACATGGTGGTTGTGCGGCCCCTCATCCAGCAGTGGATTGACAAAATTGGCCGAATACGTACACGTACAATATCACTGTCTGTGGCCTGAATCTGAACTAAAATAGTTAAATGGTAGAACGAGGCATGGAGACAGCGTGCGGTCGTCACATTCTGCTGTGCGATCCCATTCCTAGAACACCCAGTGGTCTTATCTGAGTGGGGGGGGGGGGGGGGGTGGAGAGAGGGTGCAGTGTCTAGCAAACGGCGTTATGAACACGGCAACCCATTTCCGGGCACGGCTAACATCAGTGGCGAATGATATCTGAGCGGGTCTCGTTGCCCGTAACTCACTTCACGAGCCCGCACTGGCGAGCGTGGTGAAGTATGGTCAAACATCCCCCATGGCACATCAGGGCATTGGGAGGACTTCATCCAGCAGTGGATTGAATTAAGTGATCGCATCGTGGGGGTGTAATGGTATTTAGCCAGAGCCACACCTTGAACTTTGGGTGAAGAGCCATCGGCCACATTGAATGCCAAAATGGGTTCTGCCATCGTAAGTCGTTGGGGCGTGGGCATGTTCAGATATGAAGTATTTATTTTACCTTTTGTACGTTTCAATATTTTTTTTCCTCCAGTTTTATCCAGATTGTATTACAATTGTCGTGTCATGAGAATAATATTATATTGTGATCTCTCGCAGAGCAGTGTGAGCCTTCGTGTTAGAGAACAGACCCGTGGAGGAAGTGGATGTCACAGAGCCACTGCTGAGTACCATTAAAGTGACGTCTGAGTCAGCACCTTCCCCACTCTCAGTGCTGGATTTAGTTTTCTCCCGCGAAATGAAATGCGGAATTAAAATGTCAAGTGATTCATTTTGGTCGGTACAGTAAAACTATTATGAATTCTTTTGCATCATTAGACCTCCTTTGCCAGTACCAAAATATAATAATAGGGTTTTTCCCCTTTTTTATATTTTATTATATTTTGGTACTGGCAAAGGAGGTCTAATGATGTAGATGCTCACCCCGAGCCCTCATTACTTTGATAGTGCATTGTCTTTGAGCTGTACGCCTTTTGGCGTCATCTGGTCGAGCATCAATTGGGTCAAGGCTCAAAAGAAAGCCGTCCCTTGGTGTGGACCAACCAGTTTCAAGGACAATGCTTATATTTCGATTTAAAGCTTTCGTGACTGCAATGATTCATCTTCTTTGGTTCTTTCTGTAAAGTCACGTAGAATGATAATAAAATAATAAATTGATAAAATAAAATTACACAATAATATTCTCACGACGTTTCGGCCACAACACAAGCGGCCTTCATCAGGTGAAGGGGGCGAGACTGTCTGGTAGGACAGCGCTGTCCTACCAGACAGTCTCTTATTTTATCAATTTATTATTTTATTATCATTCTACGTGACTTTACCGAAATAACCAAAGAAAATGCTTATATTATCATAGTGTGTTTTTTGTTTGCATTTTGACTGCAGGTATTGTGGTTAATGCAGACATGAATCCTAGTAAAAAAAGGTTTCAGTTTTGTTGCCAGAAAAAATGGGAAAACCCCTATTATAATATTATGAATTCTTTTTTTATTTTACCAGGTCAGGCCCACTGAGCTACATAGCTCTTTTTCAGAATCGGATATGGCCACAAATGATAGCTGAACGAAGAGGCTGATCATTTTGAATGTATAGCAGCTAAATACTTTAAATACATGTTTCTAAATGTGGAGGGGAAAGCCAGAGGATCCGGAGAAAAAAACCACGTGACCACGGGGAGAGAGGCATGCATACTCCACATATACAGTCGGCGTCAGGCTCGTGATCGAACTCACGGCCTCATGTATCCCAGGCGAGGTAGTTAACATCTCACCACCGTGCCGTCCAAAGGTGACCGAGCTGAGGCCGTCAGCTCACTCCACGCAGGTGGCTGGAACCTGGTTTCGAACTCACGCTTTCAACGGTGCTGGCTCACAGTGCACTGACCTCTGAGCCAAACACACACCAAGACGAAACTCCTAATTGCTTTTCATTCTAGATTGGTTGGCGATGTTCCACATCTAAATAGGATGTGCTTGGGGTGTTTGGGGTTAAGTAGTTTAACCAGACACACCAGATTTTGTTCTATTTTTAAAGTTTAATTTCACTCTGGCTCGCTGTGCCTAATTACTTGCAGTGTAGCTGTGGGTGTTTGTCGGTGGGTGTGCATCTGGGGAGCGGTAGTGCAGCGATTATCGCGCTGTGCTGCGGACCCAGTTATCCGAGTTCGATTCTGGCTCACGGCCAACACCAGTAACGAATTATCTGAGCCGGTTCCGGACCTCCCCTGGATCGACTCAGCCTCAAATGAGTACCTTGTGCCATGTGTAAACATCGCCACTTGGGAGACAAAGAAGCCCGGGCGTGGTGCGTATGTATGGATTTTGAACTTCTTTCGCACCGTGCGTAGCCAACCACACTAATCGGAGGTGCAAACTCGAATCGAACCGGTGTCCCCCTGGTCCAGTGTTCTTGTGGCGTTAGCAAGAAATTGCAGGGCTGCGCCTTTTACCCGTCGCTAGGGAGCAGGAGGGGTCAATCTACTGCAAACTCCTCGCCCCCAATTGAACCCACGCCCGATCGCGGTCGGTACCCGGAGATGTCACGGGCGCGGTGCACATCCCAGCGACTGCGCCGGACAATACGCAGCCCGAGGGCCCACTGGGGGAGCTCTTTGGGCACCGGTCGTGATGCCAATGCAGTACAGACAATATTAGGCTCCGGTCGACCAAGTCAAGGGCACGGCGTTCACAGTTCGGCCAGTTTTGTGTCAATCCACTGCTGGATGACGGCTTCTTCTCGACGCCCTTTGCTTCTTCTCATTTTTTTTCGCACGCAAAAAAAACCCACGACGTTTGTATACGTTAAACGTTGTCAGCCAGCCGTCCCCGTCACTGACTGGGAATGGAGGGGGTGGAGTTTGTTTGATGACATAAAATAAGTGGCAGGTGCTTTGTGTTTTTTTTGTGGGGCAGTAGTGTCACCAACAAACACAAAGATACCTCCTTGTAGCCTCAACAACACTTTTGGGACAGGTGCCGGTCAGGAGTAGCACCTATGAAGGCCGGCACGGTAAACGAGGAGCTGGGTGGCCAGCACCACGACCGGCCGCCTTCGTCTCCCCAGTGGCGATGTTCACACATGGCACGAGCTACTAATTTGAGGCTGAGTCGACCTAGG